ATAGGGAAATAACTTAAAATAACATAAAATACATAAAAATAATAATCTTGAACTAGGAGGAGGAGGTGGATGTGGAGTAGGAGGTTGAGGAGGCGGTGACCGTGGCGGTGTAGGTGCAAGCGGCAGTGGAGGAGGAGGAGGTAGCCATCACTGTTTATTTGTTTTTTTAATTGGGGTGGCCCCCAAAATATTGGGACATAAAAAAAAGAAAACAAAGAATAAGTGCACTTAAATATAACAATGGCTGGGTGAGGCCGGTATAAATGTCTATTCTGCACAAGGTACAGACAAGTCTGGTGGGATCCGTGCCTGGTTCATTTTATTAAACGTGAGCTTGTCCACGTTGGCTGTGGACAGGCGGCTGCGCTTGTCTGTGATAACGCCCCCTGCCGTGCTAAACACACATTCAGACAATACACTGGCTGCAGGGCAGGCCAGCACCTCCAAGGCATAATTGGCAAGCTCAGGCCATGTGCCCAGAAGTTGAATGGGGCAGTCCCATCAGTCAGTACGTGTAGGCGTGTGCACACGTACTGTTCCACCATGTTGCTGAAATGCTGCCTCCTGCTAAGACTTTCCATATCAGCTGGTGATGCTGGTTGTTGTGGTGTGCTGACAAAGCTTTTCCACATTTCGGCCATGCTAATGACCGAAAGAGGTGCTGCGGTGCCCCAGCTGCGTTGGCAACCTCTTCTTCCTCCTCTGCCTTCACCTTGTGCTTCCACTGAGCCCCTGGTGTCAGTTGGGAATGCCCTCAGCAGTGCATCTACCAGTGTGCGCTTGTAGTCGCGCATCTTCCGATCACGCTCCAGTGAGTTAATTAAAGACGGCATGTTGTCCTTGTAACGGGATCCAGCAGGGTGGCCACCAGCACGTTAGAATGTGGGCAACTCAGCAGTCATTGCGCAGGCACTGCAGCATGTGTGCCAGGCTGCCCAGAGGCAAGAACAAGCTGTCCTCTGTGGGAGGTGTATCGTCAGTGTCTTCCTTATCACCCCAGCCACGCTCCAGTGATGCCCACGAGCTGCGTTGGGTGCCACCCTGCTGTGAACACGGTTCCTCATCCTCCAGAATTGTGTCCTGGCTGGACAATTGTGTACCTGGCCTATGCTGGTGCAGACGAGCAATGAGAGCAGGGTTGAGGAGTGGGTGGAAGATGATGTGGAGGATGATCCCTCCGAGCCACTTGTGAATGACTGGCCTGATAACCGTGGAAATGACCCCTCTTCCCCCTACTCTTCCTCCTGTGCCACATCCTCATCCATCATCGCCAAAAGCGTTTTTTCAAGGAGACATAGAAGCGGCATAGTAAGGCTGAGAACGGTGTCAGCGACACTGGCCATGTTGGTGGAGTACTCTTGGTGCTCAAGCCGGTGAAGACCGACAAGATGCAAGCATCTTGGCAGGGCCCATACAAAGAAGTAGCCCAGGTATGTGATACTACTTATGTCATTGCCAGCTGTGCAGATGAAAGGATCCAGCGATCCTTTCATGTGAACATGCTGAAGGAGTACCAAGAAAGACAGGAGGATGTCGCTGCAGTGTGTGCCTCTGCTGCAGACAACCCCTCCCTGATTTACTAGAGACAGACCCCCAGATTGACCTTACTAGCCTTGTACAGCTAGGGGACCAGTTAAGCCACACCGAGATGGGACAGGCTAAGAGGCTTCTGTGGGAGAAACAGGTGACTTTCAACCAAGAACCACTTTCGTACAAGGTAGAGACCCCTGGACAGACACCCCTGCGACAGCCCCCTTACCGTGTCCCTGAAGCAGTCCGAGAAGGAAATACAGGAGATGACCCAGTTAGGGGTCATCGAGCACTCAGACAGTCCTTGGGCCTCTCCTGTAGTCCTGGTGCCTAAGAAAGATGGGACCACCCGGTTCTGCATGGACTACAGGTGACCAACGAGAAGACCACCACTGACGCCTACCCGATGCCCAGGGTAGACGAACTGCTAGATCACTTAGCCAGGGCATGCTATCTCACCACCATAGACCTGTGTAAGGGCTATTGGCAGATTCCCCTGGCCGAGGATGCTATCCCCAAGTCGGCATTTGTCACCCCGTTTGACCTGTACCAATTTAGGGTCATGCCATTCTGGATGAAAAATGCCCCGGCTACCTTCCAGCGTATGGTGGATAGGCAACGCGATGGCTTTCAGGATTTTGCTTGTGCATACCTGGATGACATCGCGATCTACAGTGGGTCTTGGGTTCGTGTAGGGGTGGTTCTGGACAAGATTCGGGCCACAGGCCTGACCTTGAAGCTAGATAAGTGCCATCTAAATATGGCTGAGGTACAGTACCTGGGACACAGAGTGGGATGTGGGAGCCAGAGACCAGAGCCAGACAAGGTAGAGGCAGTAGCTAACTGGCCCACACCCCTCACTAAGACCCAGGTGCTAGCCTTCTTGGGGACTGCAGGGTACTATAGACGTTTTGTCCCAGACTATAGCGCTATCACCAAGCCCCTGACGGACCTGACTAAGAATAATTTACCTAAACAGGTCCTGTGGTCTCCAGCTTGTGAAGCCGTGTTTAAAGCATTGAAGCAAACACTTGTTAATGCCCCTGTATTGGCTGCCCCAGTACCTAACAAACATTTTCTTGTCCACACAGACGCTTCCATGTTTGGTCTGGGGGCTGTGCTGAGCCAAGTCGGGGAGGATGGAGGAGAGCACCCTGTCGCATATCTGAGCAGAAAGTTTCTACCCAGGGAAGTGAGTTATGCGGCAGTGGAGAAGGAGTGCTTGGCCCTGGTCTGGGCCCTCAAAAAGTTAACCCCCTACCTGTGAGGACAGGTGCTTACTCGACTGCAGCTCATGCTTTGCATGTAGATGCCTGGTCATACAGGTTGTGCTCAGGTTTAGAACGTTTATGCCTCTCTTCAGACTCTGATTGCACAGCGTGCAAACCACTCGTGTCTTGTCAGCACATTGTCTGAAGAACTGCCATGCCAGGGAACTCCTTGGAGCTGGCTTTGGTGTGCTTGGTCACTGGGCGCGGTGGGCAGTTGCAGGCGTACTGTCTAGGGGACAGCCGTTCCGCTTTTGCACCCTGCTCCCTCTTATGCTGTGCTGGTGACTCTGTGCCATCACCGCTTCTTCCTCCAAACTGCACACGTCACTCGCATGACCTTGATTCCATGTGGGGTCTAGGATCTCATCATCCTCCACATCATCTTCCACCCACTCCTCAACCCTTCCCTCCTTGCTGGTCTGCACACTGCAGAAAGTCACAGCAGTTGGCACCTGTGTTTCGTCATCATCAGAGACGTGCTGCGTTGGTCCTTGCATGTCCACATCCTGAATCATAAGTGGTTGTGCACTCAATCTCTTCCACTTCTGGGGCAGGGCTAGGTGGATGGCCCATGGAAACCCCGCCAGCAGAGTCATCAAAAAGCATAAGAGACTGCTGCATTACTTGTGGCTCAGACTGCTTGGCTGATTTGCAAGGGGCTGAGGTGAAAGACAGATGGCCATGGGCTGCAGGTACCAACTCTAAGCTTTCAGCAGGGGGCCGGGTGGGAGACAATGTGAAGGAACTGGAGGCACTGTCAGCCACCCAATCTACTATCGCCTGTGCTTGTTCTGGCCTCACAATTCGTAGAGCGGCATTCGGGCCTACCAAATAACGCTGAAGGTTCTGTCGCCTACTCGCACCTGAGGAAGGTGTAGCTGGCACAGATCGACCATGTCCTCTCCCTGCAACAGGAGCTCCACCAACACCAGCAGCACCACGACCAGGGCCATGTCCCTTATTTGACGCTCTCCTTATACTTTGCGTTCACCCACCAAACTAACAGATGGTTTATGTCAGGCGACAATGTAACCGCCAATAGTCAACAATTAAGTTCACTGAAAGTAAGGCAGTGCCAGTGTCCTAAAGAGAAAACATTTCTAGAGGTCACACAATAGTGTGACAGGCGTAATTAATACAGTTACTTCACTATCTCAAAAAATTTGAATTTGTCAAACAACAATGTAACAGTAGTATTTCACAGTTTTATTGGACTGCAAGAAATGCACCGCAGGCTGCAAATGTACTATTTAGCACAAAAAAGTGTGATTTTTTTTTTAAACCAACAATGTAAGAGTAGTATTTAAGGGTTTTATTGGACTGCAAAAAATGCACCGCAGGCCACAAATGTTCGATTTAGCACAAAAAAGTGAGATTTTTTTAAACCAACAATGTAAGAGTAGTATTTAAGGGTTTAATTGGACTGCAAGAAATGCACCGCAGGCCGCAAATGTTCAATTTAGCACAAAAAAGTGTGATTTTTTTTTTAAAACCAACAATGTAAGAGTAGTATTTAAGGGTTTTATTGGACTGCAAGAAATGCACCGCAGGCCGCAAATGTACTATTTAGCACCCAAAAAATTTGAATTTTTCAAAGTGCGATGTAACCACAGTATTTGACGGTTCTATTTAACTCTCAGATATAAAGTGCATGCCCCAAATTTACTTTTTAGCACCAAAAAAAATGTGAATTAGTCAAACTGCTCAACTCTATCCAGGACAACATTGCAAATGAAGAGGGAAAATAGAAACATTGTTTAATTTCTCCTTTTCTAAACATGTTTCTTCTACACTGACTTACAGGTGCAAACTACAGAGCTTATAACAAAGGTAGACTGAGCTAAGATGGAGGCACACAGTTGCAGGATAAATAGATTTATTTCTACAGTTAATGCTATTTTTTCCACTTCACAAATGCATATTTGCTAAATATAGGAATATAGGAAGTAAACAGAATATTAAAAATCCTGGGAAGTTACAGCTCACTTTAAGAGGACTATGTCTTAGAATATATCTGGCTATTTTGTGAAAATGTCTTACAGCAAAGTAAACTGTACACATATCTTTGACACTCTGGTGATACATAATAATAAAGAAGAGGATCAAGACAACAGCTAACACTACTAACACTCACACACACAATGTAGGCTAAGTACAGAGAATTACTAATTTCTTTAAACCAATTCAAGTAATAAAATAAGAGGAGGACATTAGTTGGCCCAAAACAAATTATGAAGACGCAGAAAACAAACACGATCAGAAACAATGCATGTGATTTTTTTGGAAGAGTTCTGAAATTTGGATGTTTTGAGACTGTAAATGATTCCAAAATAAGAGGTGGTTGTAATAAAGAAAGGCAGTAACATTAAAATCAAACAAAAAGAAGAAAAATAATAACTATAAAACTTTTGATAGTCTTTCAAATCCATCACGTCATGACAGGTGGTGATATTCAATATGTATTTGGTTTGTTCAGTTATAAAGAGTGGTATAGTGCTCCCTACAGATGCCAACCAAAGAAGGCAGCAGGCCAATGAAGAACGACGCACATTGCGCCAGGAAAGAGATTGGATTGGAAAGACCACTCCCAAGAACCTGTCTACGCTGATACTCGTCATGAGTAGAATGGAGCAGTACATGTTACAGTAAAAGGCTGCTGTGACAAAACTGCACATTCTGGAACCAAATATCCAGTTGTTTCCAGAGAAATGATAAACTATTTTGAAAGGTAACACACAAGCAAACAATACATCAGCAACTGCCAGGTTCAACATATAGACCATTGCTGGATTCTGAATCTTCATCTTGACGAGAAAAATGATGATTGCCATTATATTCAGTGGCAGTGACACAATGAACACTAACGTGTATACTGATGGAATAAACGTGGTCAACCATGGAGTAAACAAATGTTTTTTTAAATCATCCAAGAATTCAATTCCATTTAATGACATATTTGTTGTTGAGAGCGTGTAGTCTACATTTTTTCCCACTTGATGTTGACCTTTCAGTTTGAAGGGAATAAAGCTGAGATCTAAAAAGAACAAAAAATAAGTTACATAAGCAAAAGCAACAACTGTGTTGTAATAGTATAGATAGTGCTTTGAAAGACCCTTTTTTGGGAGAGGACACAGTACATATATATGAGCAGGAGTAGTTGATGTCCTATTTTGTGCAACAGGACTACTTTAGTAAACTGAAGCCACAAAGGGTCAAATTTTCTTTTGCAGAATCAGACTTAGCAGGGGAACATACTGATCATGCATGATAACGATTCCCAAATGGCTTTCATTTAAGTTATCTTCTCAGAAAATCACCACTCTACAGCCAAAAAATAAAACAAATTCTGAACACTAAATGTTACATAGATACATAGTTACATAGCTGAAAAGAGACTTGCGTCCATCCAGTCCAGCCTTCCTCACATATGATTTTGCTGCTGATCCAAAAGAAGGCAAAAAACCTAGTCTGAAGCACTTCCAATTTTGCAACAAACTAGGAAAACATTCCTTCTTGACCCCAAAATAGCAGTTAGATATCCCCTTGGATCAAGCAGCTATTACCCCACTAATTAGAAATTATAACCCTATATATAATTTCCATTAATGACAATCTATCCTTAAGCCAATGTTCTACCCAAAAACAAGAATATTCATCTAGACCAATTTCTTTTAGTTTGAAGACGAACTTATTGTGAGGAACCGTATCAAATGCCTTGGCAAAATCCAAGTAGATCACATCCACCGCAACACCCTGATCTATACTTCTACTTACTTCGTCGTAGAATGCTATTAGGTTAGTTTGACATGACCTATCTTTCATAAACCCATGCTGATTATTGCTAATAACAAAGTTATCCCAATGAATTCCTGAATATTATCCCTTAATAGCCCTTCAAATATTTTCCCAGTCACAGAAGTTAAGCACACAGGTCGATAATTTCCAGGCAAGGATTTTGAACCCTTATTAAATATAGGAACGACATCTACCATCCTCAAATTCACCGGTACAATACCTGAAACAAAAGAATCTTGAAAGATTAAATACAGAGGCTCACTTATTTCCACACTTAGCTCCTTAAGTACTCGTGGGTGAATACTGTCAGGCTCTGGAGCTTTATTTACATTCATTTTCTTTAACTGCTGTCTCGAGTCATCCAATCACATGTTATCTGCAAGTTTTTTGCAGTAATTCATATCTCTTGCCATAGGATCCTCATTAATATATACTGAAGAAAAATAGCTATTTAAAAATGTCTGCCTTTTCCTGGTCTTCATTAACTAACAGACCCATCTCTGTTTCCAATGTACTTACACTTAAATTTTTTGTTTTTTTAGAATTGATGTACTTGAAAAAAATTGGTGGTTGGTTTTGCATTCTTTGGCTATCAGTTTCTCATTTGCTAGTTTAGCCACTTTAATTGCCTTTTTGCAAGCATTATTGGCTTCCTTATATCTTATATAGGATGCCTCTGATTTGTCCGATTTAAATGCTTTAAATGCCCTTTTCTGATTTTAATGTTACTAAGCCACATTGGTTTCAATGCAGTGGCGGATCCACCCCCTCCCTCCCGAGAGCCGATGCTTCGGCCTGCACGGCCGGTGCTATCCAAGTGTTGTGTGCCTTCACGGACCGGAGAGGAGATCAGGGATCTCCCTCACCAGTCCGCAGGCACATTGCTGGGCAGCAGGCACGGGAGGGAGAGGAGACCCAGAAACTCTAGCCTGCAGCTCTGCCGGGTCTCCTATCGCAAACACGGAGCACTGTACCCCCACACACACTGCACCCCCCATACACACACTGCCCCCACTGCACTCCTTTACACATACTGCCCCCACTACACCCTCATACACACACTGGCCCCATACACACATTGTTCCCACTGCACTCCCATGCACACACTACACCACTCACACAAATACACACTGCCCCTCCTAAACAGTGCTCCCACTGCACCTTCATACACATACTGTCTCACATACACACACTGTCCCACATACGTACATACACACACCTACCTACAGCCCCCATCCTGACAGCCCCAAGGTAAATTGTCAAACTGTTCTTAAACGGTTTGACTATTTACTCTGGGAGGGCACCACAGCACTCCTGGCACCATAACCACTACATAGAGCTGTAATGGTTATTGTGCCTGGATTGTTTGTTTAAATAATCTATGAGTGCCCCTCCCGAGATAAGGCTCTGGATCCGCCAGTGTTTCAATGTGTTTCTTTTATATTTATTACCCAATGGTACATACTGAGAAATGTACCTTTCTAATATTTGTTTGAATAGTTTCCGTTTATCCTCAGTGGTTTTTCACTAAGGAGTTAATGCCAGTCGATATGTTGTAGACAGGCCCGGACTCGCCATTGGGCACACCGGGCAAATGCCCGGTGGGCTGCGGTGGCCATGGGCCGAGGCCGGCAGGGGAGGTCCCAGGATCTCCCCTGCCGGTCTATGCAGGGCCGGAACTCTCCTAGCGCCGGCCCTGCTGTGTGCCACGATGGGCCGGTGGGGAGATCAAATCAAATGCGGCCGCCGGCGGGCAGAGAGGGAGGGAGACAGCCGCCAGAAGAAGAGGACCCGGCGGAGCTCTAACTTGAAGCTCCGCCGGGTTCCTCTAGCGAGATCCGGCGCGTTGCCATGGCAACAACCGGATCTCGCGAGAGTGAACTCTAGCCCTACAGGCTAGAGTTCACTCGTCCACGAGGACCACCAGGGAACCCCGCCTCCCAGTCCCAGGTGCCAGTTTGCCGGTCCCCCCCTCCCAGGCTCAAGGTAAGAAGGGAGGGGGGATTTAATGCCTGTTTTTTTGTTTTTATTTAACCCCCCAACACACACACAATCCATTCTAACATTTATACAGCACTCTCACACCCATCACACACAGCACTCTCACCCATCACACACAGCACTCTCTCACACAGCACTCTCACACCCATCACACACAGCACTCTCTCACCCATCACACACAGCACTCTCACACACAGCACTCACACCCATAACACACAGCACTCTCTCACTCATCACACACAACACTCTCTCACACAGCACTCTCACACCCATCACACACAGCACTCACACCCATCACACACAGCACTCTCTCACCCATCACACACAGCACTCTCTCACACATCACTCTCACACCCATCACACACAGCACTCTCTCACAGCACTCTCACACCCATCACACACAGCACTCTCACACACAACACTCTCACACAGCACTCTCACACACAGAACTCTCACACACAGCACTCTCACACACACCGCACTCTCACACACACCGCACCCCTCACACACACATACTGCACCCTTCACACACACAGAACCCCCCCAACACACTGCACCACACACATACACAAGACTTCCAAATATATATATACACACACATACACTACACTCTTAACATACACACTCTGGATCCCCTATGCACACACTAGATTCCTTGTAAGCAAACACATACTACACCCCTAAACACACACTACATCACCTATATATACACACACACACTATAGCCTGTATGCACACACTTGCTATATCCCCAATACACACATTCTCTACAGCCCATAGCCACATATGCATCACATTACACCACAAACACATGACTAAAACCAACCTTATTACACAATACCACACCACAATCAGCTCACTCTACACACACGCAATACCACAAGCAGGCTCCAAACACATGCACAATACTCTTTCCTGGCCCTTTTGTCTCCTGGTATCCATTTATAGAGACACCAGAGACAAGTTGCAAGGAAACACAGTGCAAGCATGTTATTAAATTAGCTTGCACTGTGCAGAACAAATACAGAGCTTTTTTCTCATGCTAGAGCTCTTCAGCAGAGCTCTGCGCATGGTCTGCCCTGGAAGAGCATTGAACCAACAAAACACACCTCCTCTGCCCCCCCCCCCCTTCTTAGTGGGCCGCTGTGTTAAAAAAATGCCCTGGCCGAATTTTTCTCCCAGTCCGGCCCTGGTTGTAGAGCTGCCCTAATCTTATTGAAATTGGGATTAAAAGAATGGGTTAATCCCAGCTGGACCTGGCACCCAGACCACTTCATTAAGCTGAAGTGGTCTGGGTGCCTAGAGTGGTCCTTTAATAATAGAGTCCCCTACCACCACAACCTGTCTAGCCTTCTTAAAAACTCTCAACCCCACCAGTACAAGAGGGGCTGTTCAAAGGAACAGCTTCCTACTTCTGAGCTGATGCTCCCAACATCAGCTCCCAACAGGATAATCTGTTATGCTGCACAAGATCAGGACTAGCTAAATCTTTCCGCTCCCCTCAACCCCCATTTCCTCGCCCCACTGTTACCAGGCTATGTGCCTGCTCACCAACTGTCTCATCTCCTCCCACTCCACTACCTGCACCCACCAAACTCTGCAGCAG